CGATAATGAGATAGCAGCTTCCACATAACGCAGCAATGGAGTAATCAGCAGCGTGACAGCGATGGAGTCATCACCAGCGTGACGAGTCATCACTCATCTGACGTGTCAGGACCCGGGTGCAGCTTGGTTCCGGGGGTACCGGAGCGACCTTGCGGCACCCATGGTCGCCCGCATCAGGACATCGCTACCGACAGCTCTGTGACAGAGGGGACACTGATCCCTGCTGCACCGGAACGGCACAGCGGAAACCGAGCACGCGGCGAGCGTCGGCTCCCCGCGCCACCACAGGAAGTATCCATGGAAGTGCGGCGGTGCAACAGTGCAACAGAGTGCAACCCTGTCGCACATACCGGAAGGCAGGCCTTGACTGAGTGAGGTCTGAGCTTCCACCGGCCCTGTCGGTCGCTTTAAATAGAGCACCTGGTGCTGGCAGTGGTGTCAGTTCACACCGTGCCATCATCAGCTCACACCATGAGCTTACTGTCGGCAGTCCTGCTCTCAGCGTTAGCTGTTCTAGTTCCATCACCGTGTGCCGGCGACGGCGACTCGCTGAGTCTCGCTGCCGTGCCGTGTGGCGAGCGTCACGCTTCTCCCGGCCACCAAACCCGCATCAAGGGCGGTCAGGAGGCCTACCGCGGCCAGTTTCCGTGGTCAGTCTCCGTGCGCCACCAGGGCGCTCACCTCTGCATGGGAGCTCTCCTCTCCGAACGGTACGTTCTCACGGCGGCACACTGCTTCGGCGGCCGACCGGCCAGCCAGTTTTCGGTGCTCGTCGGAGGTCAAGACCTCACCTCCGATGCAGACGCCGAGCCGGGTCGACGCGTCGTCACCGTCGAGAGAAAAATCATCCACGAGGATTACGTGGAGGGTCGTTTTGATGACGACATCGCGCTGCTGAGACTTTCCGAGCCGGTGACCTGGGGCGATTTTGTTCAGCCGGTGTGTGTGCCGCCGGCCAGCGCTGATGCCAAACGGTACACGGGCGCGCGAGGCCTGCTGGCCGGCTGGGGGTACCTGGACGAGTGGCGTACCGGGGGAGAGCGCTCCGATACACTCCAGTGGACGGCGCTGCCGCTGCTCTCCCGGCAAACCTGCCAGCAGTGGTTCACCGATGCCGGCAAGGTGATCAAAGTTCGGCCGGGTAAGGTGTGCGCCGGGTTTCGGGAGGGAGGCACGGACAGCTGCCAGGCGGACAGCGGCGGGTCGCTGACAGTCGCAGACCAGGAAGGTGACCAAGAGCGAGCTGTCGTGGTCGGGGTCGTGTCGGCCGGCATCGGCTGCGGCCGGCCCGGCCTGCCCGGTATCTACACGGACGTCACACACTACCACAAGTGGATCGTCGATCACGTGGAGCCGTGAAACTCGAGAACCAACACCGGAGCGAGATAAACTCCAAGGGCAGTCGGCAGTGATTTGAGAAAAAAACACCGACTGGTCAAAGTGGCTAAGTGCAATGGAACAATCTCGAATCAAGCTCGAAAAGCTGCGGCTTAACATCGAGCTTACGAGAAATCCGCGTATATAGCAAGAGTATCTATATTATTCTGTACAACTTGCTGTACGGTGTATAAGTGCACCACACGATGACTTATCAGGTTTAGAGACCCAAACTGTCCGTCAGATGGGACTAGAAGCGAAAACTAACAGTAGACACGCAACTACTTACAAGGTAGTCTACGAACGAAGCCGTCGCCAGTAACTATGTACTTCTGAATGACTTTGTCATTTCAATTGACCATTATCGATCTCCATAATTGATGGAAGGCGCTTATTGCGGACAGGTGTCGATTTCTATCTGTAACACTACCCGTTTGCTACACGGCCCACATCATGCTGCAGTATTTATAGACTGATCGTTAAAATCAATGCGAGTGAAGCACAATACATAATACGGAATGATATTTATCTATCATTTCCCATTACAACTCCAGAATTGGCATCCCCATCAGTTTCGGGCTTACCTAACCACGTGGAAACCTAGAACTTCAAAAATATCTGACGCACTACAAACGGAGCGTGAGACAGCAATATCATCTAGAGAAGTTGTCTAATCGGGTCTCAGTCCAACATCTGTCAAATTAACCGGACTAGATCGGGACGCATCCAGCGAGGTAATGACATTGCTATGACGATACCGGACTATCCGTATATGACTGGGAACACCACTTGCACGGACGGCAGGAGCCCGAAATAGAACACATTAGAGCGGCGAGGACAGGCGAGCAATGCGCACGGCGAGTTAACAGGGTGCAATGTGATTCAGTGAGATGTGATACTAGCCATCTCGGGATAGAAGTGGACCACACGGCACGCTCTGCAAATGATGACTTTTGATAGATGCGATGCCCCCCCCCCTCCCCCCAAAAAACACCACTAAGGAATGCTACTAAACTGTGCGGGATGTTTCATGTTACCCTCAGCAATGCCTTATTAGGTACACAAGCCATCAAAATAAATAAATAAATAAATAAATAAATAAATAAACAAATAAATAAATAAATAAATAAATAAATAGGTAAATAAATAAATAAACAAATAAATAAAGTCACATCTAAATGAAAGAAAAACAAATAGGGTGTTGGGTTAAAACGGGTCTTGGATAAAGATGACCTACCATAACTCAGAAAAAAAAATAATTTCAGATCTTTTTAGATTCAGAGGAGCGTACTGTATCATTTCAAAAGAATGCAGAAAACGAGAATGACCATTCCTGCGTCAGCACTGTAGGTAGTCTGGTGGCGAGGGCACGCAGCCAGTTGCGACTACCGCCACCAGACACGCGCGGATCGACAGCCAAAGCGGATTCCGCATGTCCGGCTGGAGCAGATAACGATACTGGGACGCTGTCCGGTGATCGCAATCTGGCGTGGACATCGCCGTAACGTGGAATTACCGTCGGCAGAGTGAATTTCAGTGCCGCGCACCGGCCGGCCGGCGCCGCGTGCCGGGTGACGGGCCCGGACCGGGCTCTGAACGGAGTCCGATGGGCACGGCCGGACGACAGTGAATTCCACCGCCGCCGCCGGACGGGCCAGCCGCTCACAGATCCCAAACGAGCTATCAGAACGGAGCGGCTTATGCATAGGTCAGCTGATTAAGTACAGCATGAAACATGAAAAATGCTGCGATGATCCGCTCAAATACCGGCGTACACGACTGCTACCCCGCTGATGGGAGATATTTCTGATAACTTGCGACGGTGAGGATGTTCCGAACGAGTCCTTCTCCACTCCCAAAACAGGTTGGTACACGACAATGACTGTTCAGTTCTTCATTTGGCGTGTGTAATTAGAGAATACGGAGGTGAATTGGCGTGGGAAATATTGGCTTGGGAAAAAGCAGGGCTGTATGAGACATCGGTAATCTGCCAGCAATAAGCGGGACGGCCACGAGCCACGGCGGCACCGGTCCTAACACGGCCGACCTCACGTGCGGCGACAAATTGATTTTTTATAGCTTACCGCTGCAGCTTATACTACTGTAGTCTCGATATTACGCATATGGTGGTAGAAATTAGAAACCTTTAAGAGAAAACCCCAGAAGGTCACCAAAACGAGTGTCGTTTTATATAGACCTGGGTAAGCCCCAAGCTCTGCTAATAATTGTCATCCTTAATCGATATTCAACATTACGCCGATGGTAAGAATGGCTTTGGTATCTAAAAGAAACCATTACACTTTACACCCCGACCATAGACGTCTTGTACACCGTACATACAGAGGTCTATGGCCCAGCCAATAAATTTCAGACAGTGACGCCCGTGGTCGCCGATACGAGGCACAAAGAAAGGCCACAACATAACTCATACAAACGGTGTTAGTGAGAGTAACTATACAAGGAAAGGTACGTTTTGGGCGACGATCGCGGAGATCTTCTCGCGCAATACTGAAACAAAATTACAAATAAGTAGTTCTGCCCGTTAGCTAAAATAACTACAAACTAGATAAGGCCATTGTTTCTGAGGTTAGTGACTAGTTGACTGAAGCAACAGTGAAACTTAAAACCATACGAGTCTGCATTTCAAATGGTGATATTTCTGAAAAGACCATAAAGTCATAATTACCTATTGGTATCCCAAAAACCTGTTTCAGACTATCATGGCCCTCGGGATAAAAGCATCATTCAATAAGAAACTAAGTTATTTCGAATTCACATCCCTGAACACATTTGTTTCTTGGAGTAGCTAAAAATAACTACGTGTAATAAGAGCTCTGACAGATTATATAAGCAGTGACAGCCAGTATCGATTTCTGATTCCGCCGCACGTGGATCCCGCCGCACGCCACGCAAAATACTCGACTGCGGTTGAATGGCATATGAGACTCCGCTGATGCATTTCGGAACCCAAAGAGCATCTCCGCTATCTGCCTTTCTGCTGGCTGCATCTTTTCAAAAACGCCACCACGGTATCAGGGATTACACGATGGCCACAGCGTTCGTGCATTGCAGGCCGTCGTCATATGTGTGACGGCTATGATTCGTATTCGAGGGTAAAGGAGTTGCAATACCACGGCAAAACGTCTTGAATAGCTATATCGCACACAAGAGTGCGTCATTTTTCGCGGTGTTCCCCATTCTGCACTCCAAAATATGGACCGCTAAACGCGACACGATGCTGCTGAGCCGTTGATCAGATCCTCTCACCCTGGCTGTTCGCAATCCACCGATGGAGTCGAGCGGTTCAAGTGCGAATACTACAATACTGCAATGTGCAATACTACAACGCCACAATGCGTCCTAATTTCACCAGATACTATTTCATTCACCGCTATCCTCGATCCTCCATGCGCCTGTCTCCACCTCCCGTCCCCCTACTCGTCAGCCCATCCCTCGCCGCCTCCCTTGCGATCTTATAACTCACATGTCAGCATCATGAACAGGAAAGGAAATGGGCAAAGACCCCCCCGCGCCCAGCCCACCGATCTTACTTACATGTCAGCACCATGACCACGAAGAGCGCGAAGAGTCGCCCCCTCCCCCCAGCCCGCCGTCTCACTTACATGTCAGCACCATGACCAGGAAGAGGGCGAAGAAGTCGGGGTAGGCCGACAGGAAGTCGACGTCCATGCCGCAGCACTCGGTGAAGGCCTTCTGCATGGCCTGGTCAAAGATGGAGTCCACGTAGGTGCTGTAGCCTCTCGCCACGCTCGCAGTGCCTGGGACAGAAGGCAGAAATGGTTGGTAATGGTTGGTGTAGTGGTCATCAGTCATCACTTGTCAGCGATGGTATCCCATTGCCATTACTGACTGGAAGTGGCCATTTCTTGCCAGTAACTGCGAAAAGTGGTGATGTAAAGGTACTTCATAGTCAGAAATTGCCAGAATCGTCGTAAAATTAGATAGTAGCTAATACCTAATTAGTCATGTTCACTAATTGGCATCAACGGAAAAGCATAAGTGAATTAATGGTAAAGGCCGTAACTAAAATAACTCCGAAAGAAGTAATTAATATAACTTTGGTTATTTTCGGTCGGTTGACAAGTATGGTCAGGAATCATTAAAAATGTTTAGTAATTGCCAGTATTGGCCAGGTGTGGTCGCTAATAACTAGACAGTAGGTAGGTAAGGTGATTTTTGTCGGCAACGTGAAACGCGTAGTGCTCATTTATCCATGCACCCCTAAGTGAATATTGAAGTCATTTGCATATGACAACATCCCACAAGACTGCCATTTGTTTTCCGGAAGTATTGTGCATTGTCCAAGATAAGACTGTGATTTGATTTCCGGATGTATTGTGCACTGTCTGAAAAAGGTCTGACAGGCGACAACGAGACATCAGGCCAAGACGAGGAGAAAATATCAGGGATCATATGAAAACCGCAGCGGGATGCATATAACACAGACAATGGATAAGACTACCGGATGACCTCGGCTCTACCTTGTTGGTCAGTCCGGTTGGCAAGGATTCAAAGCTACTTTCCAAAGCTTCTTTGCATTGTTATCATGCAGATTAAGGCAAAAGAAAGTCAAAACAAACAGCAGAGTCATATTGGCGAATTATGGAACACACGTTGTTTACAGCTTACACGAGGTGATAAATCTCTAGAAGTATGACCTGTACCGTAAACGGGGGTGACTTTGCCTTGCGGGGTGACTTTGCCATGCTTCTCGAAAGATGCTTTAGGGAGAACTCCAATGATATTTTACGAAGAATGTAGTAATGTTTTATGCACAAATGAAAGACAATTGATGGGCCTTCCAATACAAACAACACTGGGAGGTAAGTTACCACTAAATAGGGTAGTGTGGGGTAATTTGAACATATTTTTACGTCTTCTCCGTTGTACCAAATTCCAGCTCAACCCTGGAGGAAGAAAAACTGCTTCAGTAGCGCAAGTGTCACTTGCTTTCACCATGCAAGCCTCATTTTTGGACGAGCCGAGCATACCTTGAATAGCATAGCCTCACTTCTCCACCAAGTCACGGTGTGTTCAAATGGCCTCACCGTGGGGTAATTTGAACATACTGCCTTTACCTGTCATAAAAACGATAGTCTCGCCAACGCCGATGTTGTTTGACCCATAAACAAATAGGCAGAACAATTCTAAACATACCTTCACTTGAAAAATCAACACAACAACAAAAATAACAGTTGCAGAGTATCAATATCTGCACGCTGCACACCGGTCAGTTGACAGAATTCGCCTGTCTTCAATAACAGAACGTCTATCATTTTTGTTCGATAAAACCTCTCCCAACCTTACTGCATCTGTTATAGTGGTGCCAATCGAAACCTGGACATTTGGAGCTCTGATTTTGTCCAATGTCCAATTCGGAATTGGTTGGACAAAGGTAGCAGACTGGACAACATTGGACGATGGCTTGCTACACTTCAGCGCTTTTTATAAAGTAATCGTGCATAGCATTGATTGGCGAATGGAAAGCTTGTTAAGCTCTCAATATAATGAACACTTTTCGGCTGGTAAAATTACATCATAAGCAATTCAAATGACATTTTTGAGTGTTGATTAATGCGCAATTTTCGGACATATTTGGACAAATGGCTGACTTTAACATTTTTGAACGGAAATCAACGAAAATGCCGGACACTATAGTCCGTTTTTCTTATCTTTAGACTTCACTCCAAGATGTGCAGATAACTTAGCACGTGACGTCACACAATTTGATAATAAAAATCAAGCGTCACGCTCATTGCCACTGGCTCTAAAAGCGAACACACCATATGTCTGCTGTGTATCAAGGAAATCTGAGACTTTTATATATCTTTTGAAATTTATATCCATTCGTATACAATAATATGCAATGCTCTCAAAACTTCGGCAAGGAAAACCGATCGGTGCACAAGCGAGACAAGTGGTTTATAATGTTTACCAATATTTTATTCGAAAGAAAGATGAATACCTCAAGCAAGGTGATGAGAGTGCAGCGGCTAGCATTAACGTAGCGAAGGAGACCAGCTCTGCTACTGGAGTGTCGATTGCCTCTGTTAATGCATTCAAGAGTGGAATAGAGACACATGGATGCCAGTCTCCAGCCCGCCAGCGCCCTAACAGGGGGCCACGCGAGTACTTCGACGAGTTTGACCAGTGCGCGTTCAGAAGAATGGTGCATGCCATGTACCTGGAAGGGAAAAAGGTCACTTTGGACACCATTAGAGCGGCAGTTCAGGACAAGTTCGAGCAGACTATCTCGCGCTCAACCATACGAAAGCAGCTGTTCCAAATAGGATTCAAGTTCCGACAAGTGAACAACCGAAAGCTGCTGGTTGAAAAACCTCAGGTGGTGGCAGCCCGGAACGCGTTCCTGAGACGCATTCGGAAGATTAGAAGCTCCGACCCAGAGCGCACTATAGTGTACTTGGACGAGACCTGGTATAACCAGTTTGATATGCGAACGGTCGCGTGGTTGGACAGTGACGACGTGGCCGGCCATAAGCCAGTGACAGGGAAGGGCAAGCGCCTAATCATAGTCGATGCTGGCTCGGACAGCGGCTTCACCCCAGGAGCATTCATGTGTATGAGGACGGACGGCAAGTCTGCCGACTATCACACGTCTATGAACGCGAGCTGTTTCGAGGACTGGTTTCGACTCCAACTTCTGCCGAACCTGCCAGCGAATAGCGTGATCATTATGGATAACGCCTCGTATCATTCAAGATGTGCTAACAAGGCACCTACAGCTAGCTGGAGGAAGGAAGCGATCCAAGAATGGCTGCGGGTACATGATGTCAATCCTGATCCGGACTTGCGGAAGGTCGAGCTTCTTGAGCTGGTTCGCCCTCTGAAACAGACACGCGAGTATGTGTTGGACAAGGTGGCACAGGAGGCCGGTCATGAAGTACTGAGGTTGCCCCCATATCATTGCGACCTCAATCCGATTGAAATGGTTTGGGCAAACATGAAGACGCACGTCCGCCAGTTCAACAACACTGGGCATCTGAATGACGTGGAAAGGCTGCTGCTGGATAGCCGAGACGCCGCGCCACCGGACTTGTGGCGAAACTGCTGCCGCCACGTGCGAGAACTGGAAGAGGTGTACTGGCGAGCAGATGGTATGATGGAGGACATCGAGCCAGTGATCGTGTCACTTCAGGATTCGAGCAGTGACGACAGTGACAGTGAAAGTGATTGAGGGCGCATGGGACCTACGATGGCTTCGGTGAACCAAACATACCCAATATACGAGTACGACTCCTGTGTTTCCTGTCTTTTGTAATTTGTATTACGAGTTACTGGTGGTAGATTTGTAGACACTAGCGGGTAATACGAGCAAAACATGTCATCACATTGAAATAGTATGTATATTTGTTAATTTCGATCAATGCTGCATTCATCGCTAAACACACGCTCATATAGCCAACTCGTGTTGGTAGCCTGCGCCGCTGAACACGCATGTCCTGCGGGTTGCCTACCTCCACAGGCATAATTCATCTCCGCCTCTCGTCACGCAGTCTAAAGCCCTTGTTACACTGCCGAATTTTGGTACACGAATGTGCACGAATATGCAAGTCATCCTATGTCGCGGACCGATTCGGCATCTTTCTTTCACGGTCTTGGCATTTCGCAGACCAATCGGTGTCCACCGCGCGACTTTACGGTTCGTCACGACCGCCACGAATATTTCATGAAAAATGAAAATTTCGTGGCCGTTCGCCGAACATATAAAAAACGAACATGATCGCCAAACAGTCGCCGAGTCGCCGCCGACATGTCGCTGCGTGCGCCGACTTGTTGCCAAGGTATCGCCGACTATTCGCAACATATTCGCCATTCATTCGCGATGTTCGCCGAATCATGGATCAGCTTCGACCCGCGCACGATTAGGGGGGCCCCCACCCGTTTTCTACAAATTGGGCTCTGTCGGCGAACTGTTCGCCTCTGTCGGTGAACTGTTCGCCGATTTCCTACACGACGTGATTCGGCGACAGGGTCGTGGCCAAAATTCGGCAGTGTAACACGGCCTTAACCCGTCCACATGATACTTCGTGAGGATTACAACGTCACAGTCAATACTATCGAAAACGCGTTCACTCGAATGTCTGCGATAGCGAACCACAAACCAAGTGCTTCACGACAGTCGCCAGAACTTGTTACGAGCCACACGCCGAGCTCCTTCAAGAATTTCCTTGCATTGGGTCCGCACTCGCAGTCGCACGCACCTGCGGTTTCAAAAAACTTCGGCTGGAACCAAGCCCTATAGGTCTTGAACTAAAGTCACTGATGATGACTTGTGTCCATTTGCAGAATAGTTCATTTCCAAGTGATATTCGCTTTTATAGGTACCCTTTAATTCATCGGATCGATAGTTCGGTTAGCATACCAAACTTTATCCAACTTAATTTTTGTAGCAGGTAGGTATAAGTACCTACCTATTTATGTAATACACATTTGTGAGACTACAAATCTGCACTTGCCGCACCCAAGAGCGCCACTCTCCAGGCTTCAAGGCAATATTTTCTGTTTCCGAAGGGCTTGATTTTTTCTAAGCCATGCTTTGTCTCGTGCATATCTTGCGAAACATCTTGGAGTGAAGTCTAAAGATAAGAAAAACGGACATAGACGGATATTAGGCGTAAATTTTATAAAACTGGTATCACTAATCTGCTACTGCTTTGGGTCGAAAATATTGGCAAAAAAAAAAAATTGGGAACGTTGTTTTTTTTCGGAGCTATCCCTGTCTTCACTGAAATTCTTC